CTTAAGACTTAAAGAGCAAATAATTCGAGGAAAACTTCTGTTTCTTTGATTTATTATGCGTTCTATAAACTTCGTTTTTATCCTTAGCAATGGCACGGTTAAAGATAAATTGTTATACAATATACTTTGTTTTAAAGCATGGCATTATAATTGAGATTTGTAACCATAGTAAAATTATAACGTAGCTTAGATTTGAACTCAATACATTCTATAATATGACATACATAATGTATTTTCTCCCTCCTTGCCTTCGTGGTGTAACGGTAGCACACACGGCGCGTATTCGAGAGGTTCAAGTCGAAGCGAGAACATTGCTTATTTTTCATGTCTCCTCCTTAAAATAACCTAATGTTTCTACACGTAAACTAAACCAAGTACTGATGCCACTATCTCTGCTTCATTTCGCTAAATTGTGCACATATACCCATCTAAACATACCTGTATAATAACCACATACCCACATTTATAATATCCACACATACCCACCTAAATAAAACATTTGGGTATGCGTGTTGTCAAACTGCAACTGAAAGGGAAGAAAGCTACCGGCTGCGCGGAAGATATTTTCTCTTCATAAACTAAACTGCACGAGAAATGTTTTCCTTCCCCTCACCCGGTACAGGAATACTCCTACAGAAGAATACACCTGACAAAAATCTCCCTTTTTAAAAAGGCTGAAAGGCTACTAGGAAATTCTAGCAGTTTCTCACCCGAAGCTTTAAAATTTTGTTTCTATGGAATGCGAATTATTTTCCAGCAATGAGTATAAGGTGAAACTTCGATTTTTAACTCTAAACTAATCACTAAGTGGAGGTTATCATTAAGTCGACGTTCGTCTTAATTCAATTTTAATCCCTACATATATTAAAAGAACTTAAAGTTTTTATTTTTGCTTTCCAGTTATTCAGCTCTTTTATGTTTTAAATTCTCATACAAAAAAAAAAAAAAAATGTTTTTTTTAAATACAGGGTAATGCTTCACTTGTTTTACGCATTTTGCGATGAAGAGAGAAAAATAATAGTACGAAAGAAAAAGAATCGTTAAATCGGATGTGCATTCAGAAATATCATTTATAAAAATCGAAAGCATGAATAAATAAAAGTAATTTATAACGTTAATAAAATTAAAAGCTCAGATTCTTACAAAATTATTAGGAGAATTATTATCTCGGGAATTAGGTGCAGTATAAATTACTTTAGCGATATCATTAAAAATAAGATATAAATAATAGCGACCCACAATGCTTTTAAATTGTTCAGTTATTGAAAGATATATAGTTTTAATTTAAAAGGTAAGTTAAAGAACTTATGCCACACCGAATGTAACACTTCTGGCAGTTTGCCAGGTAACTTGCATGATAAATTATGAAGAGAAGCTTTGCTTCGTAATAAAACTAAACAATTTTAAAACCACATTCACACAAAATTAAGTTCGTAATAAAACTAAACAATTTTAAAACCACATTCACACAAAATTAAGTTCGTAATAAAACTAAACAATTTTAAAACCACATTCACACAAAATTAAGTTCGTAATAAAACTAAACAATTTTAAAACCACATCAAGGAGAAAACAAGGTGAGAAATAAATAAATGCTTAATATGATATTTTTAGAACAATATTATTGTAAACCTGAACCTATTTCGAAACAAAATCGCACATTAAAACAATTAAAACTGTTGCACTAAGCAAGATGGTTTGCTGCATTTAAAATGCACCCCCTTATGCGAATCTTGCCTATAAGATAACCGTTATTTCTGATAAATAAGTAAATAGCAGCATTCGACATCACCTTTCTAAATTGATCATGTTCATAAAAAACCAATATCATCTTTAATTGCTTCTGGTCGTATTAAAGAGATTATAATGTATTTAGAAATTAAGAATAATATAAGTTTCACTATAAATTGATATAAATAGCCCCCTCAGATCTAATAATAATTTTACCTAGTGGTATAAAATATCATTTTACCTAGTCATATGATTAAAAATGCACGTTTCAGTATTTTTAATTTCAGAAGCTAAAACTTGCCAACGCAGAAACCCTTAGATAACATTAATATGTCACTTTGATTCAAGATTTTTTGAAAGGTATGATATGAACTTCTGTACAATTTATTTTTATTTCAGTGTATAACTAGTTTTCATTTATTTTTCAGACTATGCTCATCTGAAAAATAAAAATAGCAATTTCGGTCAGATATAGAGGAATAAATGATACTTTCCAAAAACCATGTTCTTGTTTGGGAATGCATACTCTTAAAAAAGAAGAAGGAAAATGTAAAGCTGTGCAGGGCCCACCAGCGGCCGAGCGGTAAAGTCACTGAACACTGGTAGGTTCGGTCCGAGGTTCGAATCCCGCGAACGGGCTGGCTGCATGGGTGTTTTCGTGGTTTTCCCCATGTGTAACGTGTATACGAGACAGTTTCCCTTAGAAAGTCCTCCACGAAGGCATCCCTCCCGTTAGGCAGATAGCCCTAGTGTGCTTTGCCATAATTAAATACACCAAATACACCACACCGTAAAGCTGTGCAGTTAGTAGTTTTTGAACTGTTTCTTCTGCTGGAAACGCTTCCGCTTGTTAAGGAGGGGGATGAAAATGTTCAGTATTGTTCTCTAGTCGTCTGCAAATGAAATGCTAATAAAACCCACTCTGATTTAAAGTCGCGCATTTGGCAGACATCCTTGATCGTCATGATCTAATAATTTGTAACAAGTTTTCATTTGTAATATATTGCAATCATATAATCTCTTTTCTCACCTAATGTCAGTTAACAGATCTATAAGACTGCATTTTTCATAAAAAAGAAAAATATTATTATGCTCTATTTTTAGAAAAATACATATTTTTCTCACTTTTTCTTGACTGCACGAATAAAATAAATTTTTTTCTTCCAAATTTCACAGGTTCTTGAATCTATTCCAGATGTAAAGAAGTCCCTTTTCTTTTAATTCCAGACTTTGCTTGACCAGCATTCCTAAAACCCACGAGTCAAGAACTTCAACTCCACTTTCTTTTATCCTTCAAAGCTTAAGAGGAAGTATTCAAAGTTTTAGAATTGATTTTAATTACTCTTGTCTTTTTTGATAGGCTTCTTGTTGTGGCATCATAAAAAATGCAGTTGAAAAGAGTTTTTGAGTACTATGAGTGAAAAAAAAAAGAGATGAATGGAAACTTTAATGAATTTCCTAGTAACTCACTTGAAGAATAAGCCAGCTTATCAGCCTTATATAAAGTCCATCGACTTCATGTGGCAACCTCCGGTATTCTCACTATTCAAACTTCCGCCATTTCCCCTTGAGGCAATGCTACTAAAATCTCTTACTGACAGAACTGTGATAAAAATAGCCTGTATAAAGTAAAAACACACTTAAAAATATATGATGAATAAATGTAGCTAGCTATAAAAAATTCATTGCGTATTGATTTTTTTAGGTGCAATCTCGTTCCTTTTTTCGCTTTTTCTTTCTGTTTCTTCTTTTTTGCTTTTAAATCGCATTGTGCGCTTTTCAAAGAACGTTACTAAAATCCTCTTTGTTAGCTGAATACTCAAAATGAAGCAATATTTCTTTTGCATACGTTATAGAAAATGTCTTTCACAGATGATGTTAAAATTGGGAGCCTAGTAATAGTTGTATATATGGTCATGCCATTTTAATTCATTTTAACTCTCTTATCTTATTATCTTATTTATAAGGTTTATATCGCACTCTCGCAAATATATATATATAATTTATAATAAGTTATAGGCTTCTTAATTTAATTTTAATTATTTTGTTTTGAAATATATATAATATATAAAATCTGAGTAAGTTCTGTAAAAGAAATCTTGATTATCCTATCGGACGAAAAGGTGTAGTAGAAAAATTATAGGTATAAGTATAAATTTAATCCTTTTTGTACGGGAATCTGAAATAAGTTACAACAAATTGTGAGCTTAGAAATTAAAATTAAAGTTAAAAAACAATAAAAGCAGCTGTGAAAAAATGAACACAAGAAGCGCTGTAGACAGAAATATGAAAAAATACAAAAGGAATAAAAATACTAATCTCCCTTATTTACCGCTTTAAACGGAACTTGTCAAGGGGTGAGTGTTTGAAACACTAAAACTGGTCGATTAATGAGTTCAAAATATATGTTTCGTTCCTCTGGGCAATTTGAGAATTAAAATTGTATGAAATAAATTTCAGTTTTGGATACATAATATAACAGAGAGTTTCAAATTAGTTCACTGATAGTGCAACATATTTTATATATTTATATATATGATATTATATATAATATATAAGTATGTATATATATATATGTGTGTGTGTGTGTGTGTGTGTGTGTGTGTACAGAAAAATGGTGTATGTTAATTTGTAGAGATATTAGGTATTTTGAAAGCAGGCAAGATGAAAAATGAGAAACACCCTGGCCGGGAATCGAGCCACGGACCTCTGGAATACGCGCTTAGCGTGCAAACCACCACATCACGAAGGCATGCTAGGAAGGCGGGAGAGATACCTTATAAATTTTTATGTCATGTACTTGCAGCTGGTAGATTAGGAGTTGTGAAAATTTCAAATTTTCATTTGCTCGGATACAAGAGTTCTAAATACGTGTGATTAGCCTGTTCAAAGTATAAATAAAACTCATATTGTGGCAATGCTCTAACCTCCGATCACACAGCATATTACATACAACAGCTAATTCAAAAATAAAATTAAATATAATCATGAAAATATGTGAAGAAATGTTTCAGAATTGTAGTTTCACAGATTGTAGCTACTGAAACATGTTTTTTCTTTTCTTGAGAATTATGTTGAATATATATTACATAATTCTTATATAAGTTTAAAAAGTTATAAGTGTTACCTAATTTCCAAGGGCAATTTAAAATCTGTGTAGGCTTCGGTTATTAATTTTTTGCCCTATGATACAGTTTCTAATTTGTATAAACAAATAATAATCGAGAATAACAATTACAATTGAAATAATGGTTATAAAAAATACTCACTGTTCATTAGCGCAGTTTAGTTTCTCTCCCACTCTCACTTATGAACTATTTTCCCTTTACTGAAATAGATTTTAGGAAAAATCAGAAGTTACAACGATTGAAATTATTATGTCCTTAGAAAACTCAGTGGCGTAAACATCCATACAAAAATGTCACGAATAAATCAATGTGAAAGGAAAACAACTTGGTAAGAAAGCATATAAGGAAGAAATATTGCAATTCTAAAACATCGCGGTATAAAACATTATGGTAGAGCAAGTCCTGGTCTACCACGTGGTTCTCAAAATATTTTTCTCCATGCACTTTTTCATCATTGCTAGCCCTCCCTCCTTCCCTCCTTCCTTTCCAAAATTCGAAAAATATACATTTATTTAAATTTAAATTACTTTTCGATGTATTTTATAAGTAGACAAGAAAATGTGCAGAAAGTGCTGAAAAATTGCAGAACATGAACAAACGTAGCTTTTTATATTCATAAACTAAAACTAAATGCTTAACAAGTTAAATAAAGGCTGAGTTCGTTTCCGCACCGAAAGTATGATATTCCTTGTTGAGAACTCCTGAGGTAGAGAATAAAGCAACAAATATAACTTCGTGACTTTAAAGCACCATGGTAAGAAAGTAAAGTACATTACAAACCATTTCATGTTGGTAACACTGTAAGCATGCGCTTTCAAATTTTAAAATTTCAGATACGTATTTTCTATTGCAGTATGTAATTATAAATAAGCACGAAAAGAAATAGATACTATTTGTTACCCCTATTACTTTAGATTCTTTGAATTAATTAACATATTTTAACATAAGTGTCAAGAGGGAAAGTTAAGCTTTCAAAATCGAAAAATGAGTAGAAATTACGTCTATGTATAACAGTTCATAAAATTTTAAACTTATGCTTCTGTTAGCTAGTAAAAGTCATCATTTAATTTAGCCTTTCTGTAAAAACGCATTTGATAATTTTCAGTGAAAAATACATTATAAAAAGTTAAAAAATTAGAGAAAATTGTATGAAATAAATTTTCATTCTCAAATTGTATGAAATAAATTATAATTTTCCCCAAAATTTTAGCATAAGTGTATAAGGTAACTTATGCTAAAATTTTGGGGAAAATTAAAATTATTATCACATTTAATTTTTCTGTTTTTAATATATGTATTCTTTCATTAAAGACAATGTTTTGTTTTTCTTTAGTTTATGTATCATCTTAAGGAGTTGATTCGTTAGCTTTTTCATACAATTAATCGTTTATTTGTTTATTCAATGTATATCATGTCAGGGTTTAAGCATTTAAGTCGGAATTTTTAGGGAAAAAATGGGTTTCTATTTACATCATACGCTAGGAAGAATAAATTTAATACTATATTTAGATATTTAAGTCTAGATTTTTCTAGAAATAAAATAAAATAATTTACATTTGAAAAATGTTTCAATTATTCTTTGACCTTCCCATAGTTTGTTTATATATATATATATAAACAGGCTTAACTTGTTTACTATCTAAGAGTGTTTTGCACCTTGGTCTTATATTTTGGCTTGTTGACTATTATTAATATTTTGCGCAGAATTCTATATTTGTGAAAAAGAATTTATGCTATATAGTCTTTGTGAATCTGTGAATATTGTTTTAATTTTGACTATAAAATTTTTTATCTGCATACTTAAATAATGAGTGCTTAAATTTTACTTTTCGCGGTGAGAGGAAAATTGATTTGATATAATGAATTTTCAGTAAGAATTATCTTAAATATTAAAGGCCCATATATAGTGATTATTGATTTTACTTTACTATTGAGTAAAATGGAGGAAGAAATTATGAAATTGGCTCAAAACGACGTAACGAATCGGGATTTAATTGTTGAAGATATAAATGAGATATATGATAATGATATTGTGAAAAATAATGAAATTGAGAAGGATTATCAAACAGTCAAAGATATTATGGTAAAGAAAGATAAAAGTGGAAAAGGAAGTGAAAAGATGAATGAAGTTGAAAATGATAATAGAAAACTGCAGAATCCAGAAGTTAAACAATCCATTAGATCCTTGAAAAGTATATTGGCCGTAACTAAGACCATGTATCAAGTAGTTGAAAGAATGAGAAAGACCAGAATCAGCAAAGAGATATCAGACAATATAGTTAAGGGTCTGGACAAGATCGTAGAATCGACCATGGAACAAAATCTTAGACTTATAGAGACGCATATTACTATGACTTATCAAGTTGGTATTGAAGAGATTAAAGAGGAAGTGAGATATATTGCGGATTTTATGTAAGTTAAGAGAATAAGGAAAACCATACTTAGGTCGTAAAGCGAAATTGTTAAAAAAGATAATGACGATATAAATAGAGACGCAGAGTTGATTATTAAGACAAAAATTCCTGATATTGATGTGTTTGATGAAATATCAAGCTCTATTCGGCCAGAGGATCTTGGCATTAAAATGGTGGATTGTTTAAAAAAAACGGAGAATTTGTTGTTAGATTAAAAGATGTGGAGGAATCGAAGAAATTAGAAAGAGCTATTGAGAAACAAATCATCGCTTAACAGACTAGTAGAAATTCGGAGAAGTAAGTTCATAAAACCGAAGATTATTATTTATAATGTTTCGCAGGGGGTTGAAAATGAAAAATTTTCAGAAATTTTTTAACAAGACTGCTCTTGTGATGGAGGATGTGTTAGAGTAGGTAAAAATGGAAAGGAGCTTACTTCTCATCGAGTCTTTCATGTGGATAAAAATCTGTCAAACCCAGATTTTGCAAAATCAGAGAGTTATGGTAAGGTGGAAGTATTACCCTGCCAGATTGTTTGTTCAACCGAAGAGATGTACAAATTGCCTTCTTTTTGGCCATATTAAACGCTTCTGCAAAAATGAAACTGTTTGTCACACCTGTTCAGCTCCTCATTTAGCCAAAGATTGTAAAAGCAAATTTAAGAAATGTATTAATTGTAAAAATTTTAACTCGAGGTTTAAAATGAATATAGATAATAGCATGAAGCTATTTCTAAGGAATGTCTAGATTTTACCAGAGAAATAAAATATATTACGGAACATATGAATTTATGAACTTATGAGTTTTTAACTATGGGTCCTGATATGTTAGTTTTAGTGATTTAATATGTCGCCGCGGGATGCATACTTGAGTTTCACTGTACAAATTCTACTGCGAATTTGTTTCTGCTTTAATTTTTCCTGGTTTAATTAATTTTAATTTATATTTGTTTTAGGAGAAATTTTACCATTACACAATTTTTTAAATTAAATAAAATTAAACTTTTAGAACTTTTATTGGATACAGTTTTTATTGTACCTTATTTAATGAGGTTTTTAAGTATTAATTTGAGACATTGTCAAGCAGCTGTCATACAGCTCTCTGCGATTGAAGTTTTGACCAACTTCTCAGACGTTATTTTGATTCAAGAACCGTACTGCATTGAGGGTGCCCTTGCATATAGTGATAGAAATTGGAGAGTTGTTCATCAAAATGGTGGGAGAACGGCCATTATTGTCATTAATCCGGATATTAATTTTATTGGGGATTATTCTTTAGATGTATCACCTCTATAACAAGTAATACGGTAAAATTCATTGGAGTTTGTGTGTGTTTATTTTCCCCAGCAGAAGATATAAATTTATATCTATTTGAATTGGATGACATTTAAATTTATATACAAAATTTTTAATTTTTGGAGATTTTAATGCAAAGCATTTTACTTGGGGAGCTGCATCGGTTGATGCGAGAGGAGGTTTGGTGAACGAATTTATTTTATATAGAAATCTTTTATTATTCAACAATTTTGATTCTTCTCTCACTTTATTTATCTACAGTTAGAGTTGGATATACTGACTTGGTGATCAGCTCTTCAAATATAAGTGTTCCAGACTATAATTTTATCATTTCAGATGAATAGATTCTTAGCTACCATAAATATTTGATTTTAGATGCGGATGGAATTGTATGCAGATAAACTAGTTCCTGTACTATTATGAGGAATCCAATTCGTATCAAGAGATTTTGTGTAAAAATGAAAAGTAAGATTACGAGTTATCAGAAGAGAATTATAAGGGCTGGTACTAAGTCCCAGCTGAATGAAATTATTTTGGAGATGGAGAAAGATCTTGCATTTCCTACAAATAAATTGCTTCGTATTAAAAAAAGACAGGACAATAAAATCTCTTGGGGGTCGCCGGGGTTAACTAGGGAGAAGAGTTGCGTCATAAGAAATCCTATAAGGTGAGATGCATTTGGAAGAAATTAGAATTCATAAAGGTCTCTATAAGAGAGAATTGCAATGTAAAAAAAATTAATAAAGAAATCAAAATAGAAGTAATTAAATTACTTTTTGAAAAGATTGCTATTATGAATGGATTTTTATACACGCAAGTCAAAAGGTAAAAAGGGGAATAGTGTTGAAAGGCCTGATGGTAATCGAGAAGAAAATATAAAGTATGTGAAAAGGGAAATTTTAGATGAGAACCTGGGAAATGGTATCCCTATGCGGAATAATTTTGATTTCATCTTAGAAAAATTAAATGAATGTAATGCCGATGATAAAGAATTCATGCTGGATGAGATTCCTGGATGAGATTCGGACGGTTATTACACAGCTTCGTACAAGAAGTTACCCTGGTTTGGACGATACATGCGGGCCTAGGAAGATATTGTTTGAGTTCCTAGATTTTTCCGGCATTATACAATAAATGTTTGTACATGGTCTTTCCTGAGTTTGAAAATTGCAAAAACTAGTTCTCATACCTAAAAGCGGTAATAGAATGAGCCAATGGTCTCTTAAAGGTGATGGGAAAGGTGGCTGGACAATTGATTGCAAATCGCTTACAATTAATAAAAAAAAAAACGTCTTCTATCAATATGTTTTGTGCCGGGCGGAGTACGAGGATGTATTATATTATTGTTATTAATTTTATAGAGATAATTAAAAGGTAATAACGTTGTGCCGTCTCTTTGATGTTACTGGAGTATTCGACTCTATTTGTTGGCCGTCACTCCTTTAAAATTACTTGAATTG